AAAAAAAAAAAAACCCTTTTGGGTGCTCGGACCCTAAAAATCACAAAATAAAACCAGGAAATACAACAAATGTTGTTGCTGATTGTTTGCTGGATGTCAATAAGTTGGAGAAGCTTTTCTTGTGTGCAGTGATTTAGAGGTCTTCACTGTGAACCGAGTGGAACCGGCTCTGAACTCTAATCACTCCACTTCAGTCGGTGTTTTACTGCAGCAGGAAAGAAGATTCCAGCGGAGCCAGATGCCCTCATCTGTCATCAGGAGACGCCTCAATCTTAACAGGACACAATGTTTTAAATGGAGGCAGGATTTCTGTTCCTTATAAACTAATTATTTTGGTTTGTGTGACTCTACTGCTCCTTATATAATGACTGCTCTTTCCCTCTGCCATCGCTTGTTACACAATCGAATTTATTGATCACAAATCCCGTCATCCTGCTGCCAGCGCTTGCTTCTCTTTGCTCGGGTCTCTTCAGGACAACCCTGCTTTGGATCAGGTCTCTGGTTTATAAATAATATATTTATGCACATCAGACATGGACAGGTTTCCTATTAGTTCTCTGGATCTGGCCAAACATTCTGATGATCCTTGTGTGCTCTAGAGCAACACAGAACACAAACACAGCAGGGAAGTCATTAATCCAAAGCAACATCACTTTACCTTCTACAACATCCTGAGTGGTGAGCTCATGCTATCACTGAAAAGTCCAACTAATGATGCCATCAACACTCTACAAACACTTCATACACTGTGGGATCAACCTGCCTGTTTCTGTCACCTGCTGAGTGCAACAGCATTAAATAACATCAGTGTGAAATGATTTGAGTTCTTCTACCAGAAATATTTGCCATAAAAGAGTCAGAAGCAAAGCCGGAGACATTTCATTGTTTACTTTCAACCTCATGTTCAAAAAGTTACAGAGTATTTTAACAATTAAAATGTGCTAAAGCACAGCGTTCTAAACTTCTAAAAGCCGCTTCGGACAAATACAGAACATTTCAATGAGCATAAAAAAAGAAACCTGTATATGTATAATAATAAAAAGTGTAAAACACCTACACATTAAAAATCATTGAACATCACCATTAATGAAAAGAAAACGTAACGGGAAATGTACAAAAGTCTGTGGGGACACAGGAGGAGGAGGAGGAGGAAACTTCCATAATACAGGCGGAGTGTGTTTGAACGTGACTGAAGGTTGCTTTAATCGAACATGTCATCGTCGTCATCGTCTTCCTCGTTGTCCGACTCGTGGAAGTACTTCACCTCCTTCTTGGCGCGGCCCGGCCGGTCGCGGGACGGAGCGCTCATGGCGCTCAGGCTGTTGCTGTCGTCATCCTCGTCTTCGGATGGAGGCTTCTGTGGCTTCTGTGCAGGAAAACGATAAAATGCCTCATTATGGTGAGCGCTTAGATTCCTACTGCACTACAGGCCAAGACAGCAACCAGCAGCCAGCAGCATTTATTCAGATGAAACAAGCAACACTACGGGATGAATACACGTGTTTAAGGTCAGTTTCTATGTTGAAAATGTCACTTAAAGAACAATCTCCTCATGGATGTATTTAACTTGGTGTATTTCTCATTAAGGTTCCAATTGTGGTGCTATGAGTTGTGTCAACTTCACATTTTACATCTTTACAGTTACAGACTTTCAGTTTCGCTGCCTGAACTACTTCTTCTCAGCAGTATGGAAATTAAATGACCCTATTTAAACTCAGGGCTGCTAGTGGCTCAGTGGTTAGCACCGTCACCTCGCAACTAGAAGGTGAGGACACCCGGGATCTTTCTGTGGAGTCTCCATGTTCTCCCCGTGCAGCGTGGGTTCTCTCCGGGTTCTCCGGGTTCTCCGGCTTCCTCCCACAGTCCAGAAACATGCTGAGGTTAATTGGTGATTGTAAATTGTCCGTAGGTGTGAATGTGAGTGTGCTTGGTTGTCTGTCTCTAAGTGTGGCCCTGTGATAGACTGGTTACCTGTCCAGGTGAACCTGCCTTCACCCTGAGTCAGCTGGGATAGACTCCAGCCTCCAGCGGTGTATAGATAATGGATGGATGGATGAAAATTAAAATGCCATATATTTCTATTCGAGGTTCTTTGTTAAGGATGAACCAGTGGCAACAATAATTAATCATAAAGAATTGTATCTTTGTTTTTAGGTGTCTTTTAGTTATTTCTCAAAGATCTAAAACTGTTTTGTTTTTTTAAAAAACGTTCTTGTGCTTTTCCCTTCACTCCTTCACGTCTCCAAACCCAGGAGGATACTCACTCTGCCGACAGGTTTTGCTGCTTTCTTCATCGGACTGTACTCGTCTTCAGAGCCGGAGCCCTTCCTCTTCCTCCCTCGACCTTTACCTGCAGCAACAGCGAAAAGTGACCAACAGCTCATCGCTAACAACGTCACTGTTTTTCTTTAAGAGGAAACCCTGAACACGTGCTGTACCTTTAAGAGCTGGTGATGGTTTCTTGGACCCAGTGTCGGAGTCAGAGTCCCAGATGGATTTATCTGGTTTCTTTGCTTTTGGTGCTGGTGGTTTCTTCGGTTTGGGAGCTGCATCAGAGGGTTTTTTAGCTGCTACAGATCACAAAAAAAAAAAAAAACCCTGGTGATTAAATAGTGCACAGACATGGCCTCACAGGGTCACACACAGGGAGTTGTCTACCACAGCATCTCATGTGTTGTAATACATCATGTTGCATCCACAATGTCCTGACTCATACTGAACCCACTCAAGTACTGCTGTGTGGCAGCATCATGTGTAACTGGAACTCCCTCTGCTGGACAAAGTGGGACATTACCTTTCTTTGCTGGCGATAGTTTGTCGAATGCAGAGCTGCTGGAGTAAGTGGAGAAGGCTGGGCCGTTGTCGTCGTCGCTATCAGACTTGGACCCGTCTACAAGACAAACACAAGCCAGTGTTGAGCTGCTGCACAGATCACTGCAGTGAAGCCATGTCTTCACCTTCATCTCTAATTATCATCTCTTCAAATCGGCTTCCTTTCTTTGTTACATCCAGTCCAGTGCTTAATTGTTTCACTACTTTTCTAACAGTTGACTTTAATGTGATTCAGTGATTTTGAAAGATTTGTGTACAGATGAAGAAGGTCGGTCAGATGACAGTCGTGTTCCAGATGTGTGTGTGTACTGACTTTATCAATGTTCTTTTAACAGTAAAATTAAAGTTAATATGATTACACAACTGTTAATTTCAAAATAAGAAAGTTTGGTTGCTGAATTTATAAATGTGTATCTGATGTGTTCTTTACTTGTCTCATATTCCATGTTACAGTTCATTTCCTCCGTGCTTTAACAGTGACAGCTTTGAGTGCACGGTTTATGTAAAGGTGGCTCTTTATGACTGAACAGCGAGCAGCAGCAAAAACACAGCGACAGACAGCTGCCAGGAAGTAAACAACGATGGATTTAAAACGTATGAGGATGAAACGCAGCTCACACAATGCCCTCTGGTGGGTAACCTTGTGCTTTTTAGAAGAAAACTCCAAAGGGCACCGTTAACTTTAAGGTGGCACATCAAACAGGGAAACATCTTTAAAGCAAAGAAAACATGAAGTTGTGTGTCAATGCAGAATTGGAATGAGTGAATTGAGGTGGAAGATGAGAGACGTACACATCAATAGAGGAAAACTGGAAAGACAAGTGAAGTGTCATGACGTCTCCATTTAAAACCAAATGTTATCAAAGAATTTAATGCAAAGTAATTTGAGAAATCTGATTTGTTTTTACGTGTCTCTTTTTTTTTTTTTTAGTTTATTGGTTATGCAGGGTGACACATTGGTGTGGTGGTTTTTACTGCTGCCTTCACCAGCGTCGGCTTTCCAGGTGCTCCAGCTTCCACCCACAGTCCAAAGACATCCATTGTGATTCTGAACTTTACCCTCTACAGCAGGAGCATTCAACTAAAATATTAAGAGGTCCAGTCGTTGAAAATGTATTAAAGCACAGCACCGGAACATCATAATGTTCAATTTGAGTTCGTGTGATATATGTTGATGTAGCCTAGTAGTTGTATCAACGTGTAATCAATAACAGACTGTCAAATCAAATCATCTCTTCGTCTGTCCCTCGCCTCTTTACTTGTGTCTATATGCAGAGCTGCAACGTTTAGTGCCTGGAATGCAGAGGCTTTATTGGCCGAGCAGCATCACGTGGGGCGGCTTCACTTGCATGCAATTGGTCTGCGTGCTTCCTGATCTGTTAAACCAGTGCTGGAAAAGCTGCGCTAGTTAAAATAGAAGCATCCCATAACATTTGAAATCCTCTTAGAATTTATTGATTATACGTCCAGATCCATACAGGTTAATGTTTGGGTTAGCGTCTGTTAGCGATCTACGCCCGACAGGATAAAGCAGTGTATAGAAAATGGATTGATGGATGAACGAATGATGCTGCTGTAACTACACTGAACAGGTATCACATGTAGTCTATTACTGACGCGCTGTGGATTTATCTCGTTAGTGGCTACACCAAGACGATGAACTTTCGTTTTGAGGTCGTGTCTTCAACCTTGCACAGCGCTGTGAAACACTAAACACATCAAGTTTTTCCACGGTTTGTGTCATATTGGCAAGTTGATATCTACAGGCTACAACAGCCTCTGTAAAGGATAGAACTATGAGGAACCGTCAGCTGATAGACACATAAAGACAAATAGGGGGATTAGGATTCTGAAGTAGAAGCCCTGTTTGATATAAAGCTGCCATTTGCTGTACACTGGTAGTTTCACTTGATGGCTTCTTCTGTGTAAAAGGGCTTTACACGACTCAAAATTCAGTGAAGACGGGTCAGTTTGTTCTGTTGTGGATCTCCGTGGTGGATACACAACACTTGCCTCCTTTACGCCTGGTGTAGCCAGATTTACTGATTAAAATGGAAGCATAGTGGTGCAGCAGCTGAACCAATTGCACAAGTTCTAAGTTCAGTGAAGTCATGGAATAAGATGGTGAAAGGTTAGAAGACAGTGCCACTTATATCCAGGTAGGTCTGTACGACTGCACACTGACACTGCGCCGATACTCACCACTGTCATTGCTCTTTTCAGAGAAGGCGGACTTGGATGAGAAGATGCTGGTTGTGTCTTTCTTTTTAGCTACAGGTGCAGACCTTCAGAGAAGCAGAAACAATGCATTCAACATTCATCATCATTCCATATATTTTTGGACATTTTTGTCTTTATTAGACAGCAGACAGGTACAGACATGACAGAATGTTGGGGAGGGGGAGCAGAGGGTTACTGACATGCAACAGAGATGGATTTGAACCGGGGGACGTTGTCAGAGTCTTGCACCCTCTTGGGCACAAGGATGACGGAAAGCACAAGGCGTGAAACACAGATGACTGGAAAGCATCTACAGCAACTACCACTGCACTTTGAACACACAGCCTGATTCCTAAATCTTACGTGGTCTTTTGTTTGGGCGGAGGCGGAGGGAAGGAGTCTTCGTTGTCGTCGTCTTCGTCTTCGTCGTCATTGTGGTCGTTGTAGCGCTCCTTGGTGTCAGAGAAAGTGAAGTCATCTTTGAACGACCTCACCGGAGAAGAAGCCACGTCGTCGTCTCCGTTCTCCTCTTCGTCTGCCTCCTCCTCCGAGAAGTCAAATGTGTACTTAGGCTTGGAAGCTAAAAGATGAGAGCAGAGTGGGTGTCACGCCACATTATTATTGCCAGGGATTCTGATGCCTCGTACAATTATTATTTCTGTTGCGGCTCGGTTGCATCAGTCAGCGCCCTCAGACACCTGAAGCCGACAGAGGTTAATCAGTTATTTTGAGCCCCGGGCGGTTTGAAGCGAAGGAGCTCACTGTGGATTAACATGAAATGCTACCAGTGGCAGTAACCAGCTACCTGACGATGACGGTGGTTCTATCAAAGCACCTGAATGTATTAAAAAGACAAACAAAAGCTAAAAAGTGGTACTAGTAAAACAAGTTAAAACAGAGGAAGTCTCAAACTACTGACAAATCACTACTTTATATACGACTAATTACTCATTGATTCAGATTCTTTGAAATTTCTTATTTTTCTGATATAAATTAAAAATCAAACACTCAGATCCAGTACACACACTGAAAGTATGATCATTTAACTGTTTTTCTTTTATCTTGCGTACATACATATCTATCTTGCATCTGTTAGTACAATTAGTAAAAAAAAAAAATGAATACAAGTTTGAAAATGTGTAGAAAGCAGTTTAGACTGAAGGCATGCACATCTGTTGTTCTACTACAGCTATCAATACGTATATAAGTGTTCAATCATGTTGAGTGTAGCTGCCCTCACCTAATAGTGGACAGTTTTATTATTCAGATTTACATCCAAACTACTTCAAACTGTCAGTGAGGTTTGCCTGAACCTTTCAGCCAAGTCCAATTCTAAAAGCTCCAACGGCAAAACACAGTTTCTACGTTCACTTAAGGTGGTTTTTGAGTTTTGAGACATAACCACAGATGGAAAAACCTTTTCCGATTAAGTTTCTTTTAGCTCAGATGACTGATGGGCTGTTTCTGCTTCTTCCCTCGTCTTCACATCCGGACAACATGAAACGGAATAATTACAACCTGACTGGATTTTTAGTGGCTGTCAAACAACTGGGATGTATTCCAATATTCATGCTATTTATTATGCCCAAGAAAGACTTAATATGTATGTCAAATGTCCTATGCTAAAAATACCAGGATGTTCTACTACATCCGGTGGGATTCAGCAGTCTGCAAGTCAGCAGCTTTTTCAGCCAATCTGACCCACAATCGTCTGTGCAGTTATGTCACATATGTCATAGTATCTCATGTGAGGACAAACAAGACTGAGCTGCTGACTGATGACGGCACATTTCACATTACAGACTGCGACAGTCAAAGTTAAAGAACATTATTATGACTAAGTGGTGCATCCCAATAGTACTGCATTAAAGAGCAGGGCAGCTGTGGCACATACTGAAATCATGAACAGAAAGTATGTGACGTAGAATGCTGGTTTTGTTTCAGGTTCTTCTACTCTATTTCTACTGTTCTAGTTCCTTCTGACGGCACGACACAGCCTAGTATATTAGGCCCTGTTTATTTTTGCGATATTTCAAGCTGCATTCAAATTAAATTGAGAGTTACATGTAATGCAGTGTGTATATTGTGACTGATGTGATTTTAATAGTTTCTGGAGAACAACGGAGTTCTAAGGCACAAACGAAAAGCTTACATCAGGCCTTGCTACACACGCAGCATGATTTCAGACTAACAATAGATACCAAAATGAACAATTCCGGTATGAATACGAATGCCAGAGGTGAAAGGAAACACAAGTATACCTGATGCTCTCTGGGACTTGGTCTCTCTGGGAATGACAGGTTGACTGTTCTCTAAGTCACTGTCTGACTTGGACTCGTCATCAGACCAGGGATTTCTCTTCTTCACCTTCTTTGCAGAAGAACCTTTGGGTCCTGGAGGCTTCTTCACTCGGGGAGTTCCTGTAACACAGTAAACAAGATTACTAGACTGCTGGTCGACTATTTTCATTTCGGAAGGAGGAGATCCTGGTTCTTCAATAATGGATGAGTTTTCATTTCTCGCTGCACTACAAAGCATCAAAGGGGCTTGGGGTAAAATGTACTTTTCATATTGCTTCAACGCAACATACGTACGAGAACCGACACACTTTCTGACACACAAAAACCGTCGTCCGTCTGCAGCGATGAATCATTTATTTACACCGACAACAAGTGCAGTTCTCACAACCTGAAGTTCCACCTCAACCTTCAAAAAACTTTCAGCTGAGAAATATGAAATGTTTTCCCATTTATCCTTTTTCACGCAACACAGTGAAACGAAAACAGCGACTGGAGCTGATGCTTAATAGTGACTGTGAATGTATTCTCAATGTTCTTATCAAATAAATCAAAGAGTAAAAGCTGAGTGAAACGACTTAATATCTGAAAAGATAAAAAAGCACTGACCAGGCTCTTTCTTTTCTTTCTTGACACGTGGAGTTTTTGGTTTGGCTGGAGTGGAGTTTTCTGCTGCTGCTCCTCCTCCTGTTGCTCCCTCACCGCCCAAACCGTCGTCATCAAACTCCACCTTCACTGCGACGTCGGAGTCACTCTGAGGGGACAATGCAACGTGTTATATACAAGCCAAGATGAAAAAAAGTAAACAAGAGCAAGTGTTGTTATACCTGTGTGATGATTTTTGGTTGAGTTGTTTTATAGTGGAATCTACTTTATGGGGATTCTATGTATATGTTGGCAGTTTCACACGAGTTAAATTTACTGAGCACATCATTCTGCAGATGTTTTTAAATCCAATCAAAGCAGTTACCTTCTTCTTTTTGGTCAGTTTCTTGGCTGCATCAGATTTAATGGGCTGAGTTGGAGGTTCCACCCTGCGGCCAAACGGTGAAGGCAAAGTCTCCTCCAGGTTCAGCTTCTTCGCTTTAGGTTTGCCCACTTTACCCTTCACCAGTTTGATGGCCTTTCCTGAACTCTGCTCCTCTCGCTCCTGAGTCTCCACACTCTGACAAACAAAACGTAAAAATGTAAAAATGTTCTCTACCGCTCATTATGGTGGTTAAAAGCACACAAACAAACAAAAGACAGTCGCTTAAGAAGGTCAGGTAAGAACATTGAGAAGAGGTGGACTGTCCTGTTCTCTAATAGCGCATGATTAGTTTGTGTTTTCAAAGCAGTAATTCCATCAAGGTTGTGTCACCCTCCACTGGCCTCAGTTTCTTTTTAGGCCACTGACGCCTAAAACCTGCCAGCAGAAAGAATCATCAGATATTCAGCTTTCTGACAGACCTTGAACTATTCGGCTGAACTGCAGGCTGTGTTTATGCAGACAAGAGAGGAGACACGACCACTTCTAGCAATGGTTGTGTTCGTTTCCTGAGAGGGGCAGGACTTTATATCGCAGTGAGAAATGAGCCCAGGGTGAGAAAAAATTAGACAAAAATGAGCAAAAAAATTCCCAGAAACTACTTGGAGTTGAGATAGTTAAACACAAGTTCTGTTTTAATTCACTAACTGATTTAGTTGCATTTGAAGGTGAGCAGTCGCCTTTTGCAGCTGCTGTCGGACGACATCCACCATAACGAATACATACAGCAGGTTATCAGCACACCACCACGACAATAACTGGCTTGAACACAAAACTTACATCCAGCTCCTCGACGAAGATGGCCAAGTCCTCCTTCCACAGATCCTCAGGAGATTTCCTCTGCAGATCACTCAGCTCTCCTCTCTGCACAAACACACATTTGCCTGTTAACAAATACGTATCCATCACACTCTTCACATACTGCAGTCCCATTTAGTTAAGCCCTGATAAACAAATACAATCACGACAACAACCAGAATATCCACAAAATCCTGACGGGCATGAACAGTGAAAAGAAAATGAACCTGTGACGAATGTCAGTGGATCAAACAAGTGAATTATTCATTGTGGATGAATACCTTTAGGTCCCTCTGTTTGAGCAGCTCCTCCACCTTCTCTTTAGTCAGGCACCACAGAGGCATGTTGAGGATGTAGTTGAAGTTTGGCCCTGACGTGGAGCCCGAGTCCACTGAGCTGTCGCTGTCGTTTCCGTCACGGTAATCTTCTTCCTGAGACTGTCAGAAGAAAACAAGATCCTATCATGCCACAGAAAACCACATCCATGTTGTTCCCTGTACTTCCTGCTATGTCTAATGGGGATTTACTGACGTGATGCCATGACAGGTTCAGAGCAGGAGGGACCCCCTCTTGTGCTGGCTGCCAGTACGAATCACTGTGTTTCTATTGATTTTCTTTGACTTCTTTTAGATGCTGCTGTGTGCATTAGTCTGTAGATGTGTTTTCCAGCAGCTCTATTGTACCTTTTCCTGAGATTTGGCCCAGGCAGCCACAGGATCAGATTCATAGCCTTTCTGGACCAGCATGCGGATCAGTTCACGCTTGGATTTGTTCTCTGTTTTAAAAAAAAAAAAAAAACAGTTAGAAAAGAAAATGTATTTAAACAAACACTCCTAATTACACGTGGAGCTGACAGATAAAGGGGACCACTTACCAATTGAAACTTTTCCTTCGATCTTCTCCAGTACAAAGCGAGCCTGGTTGGACAGTTTTGAGGCCTCGGCCCCCAAGCTGCCCTGTAACCAGTCCTTCCTCAGTTTGTAGTAGTGCAGGCGGAGCTCGAAGAACTCTCTGAGGATGTCCTGGACTGAATCATACCTCTTCATACAGCCCATGTGGTCAAACAGCACCTGAGAATGAAGTATTTCAAAACAATCTGTTCAATAAATAACGTCCATATTGTAAAACAGGAAAATAACAGACAATTACTCGATGTCTTCATTTACCATGGAGTTGCAGGTGAGGCTGGACTGCAGCTTGAAAACTTTGTGAAGGCCGACTGCCTCAGCCTGGGCCAGTTTCTCCTCAGACATGCGAACCACAAACTTGACCGTCGTGTCTGTGTGGTATTCTTTATAGTCATTGATGAGAGCTGGTGTCTTGTCGGTGCCCTGCAGCATGGGCTCCAATACAGACTCCTTATAGGCCTGTGCAACACAGTTATTCCAATTACATATCTAACAATACATGAACAAAAACATGCATTTTAATTTGTTGTTGTATATAACTATCGATAAACATGAATACAAGATATGCTAGTGAAGGAAGCTGAGCGTACCTGTGTCCATGTCCGGACTGGAAGCTCTGTGATCTCGATTGTGTTCTTGTCTATGACCAACACCTCTCCACTGACAAGGTACTGGTTCTGACCCAGTTCATGAATCACCCCTTTGAAGTTTTTGTAGCTGGGAAGCTGTTTGTAGGCAACAAAAAAACAGTACACAGGAAGAATAAGTGAAGGAGTTAGCCAAACGTATCAGTAAACAAGCCATGCAGGTCTGTAGGGGAAACACAGCTGATCTGTGTTTCTCTATTGAACGCGGTCACAGCTGCCAAAAGTTTCCTGTGTTTTGTTTCCAACTGCCAATGTGAGTTCATGTTTGGAATTAGAACAGTTACGACTGAGCAACCAGCATATCAGTTGTTCCGTTGCATGATCTGAAGTGTGAGGTCATCTGGCTGTAAACAGGCTTTATTGTTGACTAATAGGACGGCTTTTCAACTTGTAAAAAAGGTCTTCTGGTCTTCTCATGTTACTTTGACTTGGTCCTTGTTCCTTCTAATGTCTTCACAAGTACCCAAATGACCACAATGCCAGGTTGGTGAGGGTGAGAAAGCTTCCCGTCAATCAAAACTAACCTAACAATGGCCCCATTTGGCATTTCTACACTTTAATATCTGGCTGCATTGAAACAGACTTTTCTGACACAAGGTTTCCCACAGTGATGAAATGCACGCCAGCCATCAGAACCCTGCTGACATTCACATTTGATTGATCATAACATCACTTCGACTGGAGTAATGATTTGTTTATTTGTCATTTAGGGTTCTCCCTCCTTTGTAATTGGCTGCTTTGCTTTTTATTATCATTTCTGCATCTTTTGAACTCTGGACACTCGCTGCATTCAGAAGAGGATTTCTTGTCCAGTAGCAACATTAGGAAGCTTAGGTGGACAACATTCACCAGAGTTTAGCAGAGACTGCATCACAATTTATCAGCTCTCATTTAGCTAAAGAGAAGATAAATAAATGTAATATTTCTAGATCAATCTAGATTTAAATTGAATGAGTCAGGACATCACTAAGAGTCTGACATTTGTTACACATAATAAACTTCCTGAGATTCAGTTAAGACTGTTCAGGTCCATACAATAACATGAAGTTGACTATTTCTGGTAGACTACCTGACAAAATGCAGGTATGTCATTCCTCATTCTGTAAATCCCAGATTGACATGAGGCAGATCACTTTCTTCATATGTATGCAACATTGTCCTCATCAATCTAATGCTAATGGTGACGTAAAGAAAGCTATTCAAGTCTGAAAAGAGAGTGAGTCAATGTGTCAGGGTTCAGATGTCATCATACCTCCCAGGCCTACTCATGGTCAATAAGAAATCAACGGCTTAATAACTCGGCTGCTAAGCAGTACGTCCACTTGGCTTCAATTAATGGTTTTCTTTTTGTGCTGAGAGCCTTCAGACTGTTTACCATTGGCATGGGCTCCTGGTGGTTGAGCATTCTGTTGATGTTGTTGACGATCTCTCGGACGTCGTAGTTGGGGATCTTACAAGCCCAGCCTGTTCCAATGCCCTCAGCACCGTTCACCAGAACCATTGGAATGATGGGAATGTACCACTCTGGCTCCACCTTCTGGTTGTCATCGTACAGGAACTTGAGCAGGTTGGAGTCCACTGCTGGGAACAACAGCTTGGCAAGTGGACTGTGGGAAACAAGAGCACTGTTGTGAGCCTTATGCATTTAAAGGTTGCACACAAGAAATCGATTTTGTCAAAAAGGGAATATGAATGTCAAATTTAAGGAATGTAAATATTAGAAGTGTGAAATGGCATAAACATGTTGACATGCTATGTTTGCTTTACCTGAGCATGGTGAAGATGTAACGAGGGCTGGCAGCATCTTTTCCTCCGTTGATGCGAGTACCAAACTGACCCAGAGGTTGCAGGATGTTTGCATTGTTGCTACCCACAAAGTTCTGGGCCAAGTTCACGATGGTCATCATGAGAGCTTGCTGCATGGACAAGTGGGTGGTCAGTAACAGTGAATAGAAGGCAGCATCAGTAAGTAAGTGTGTTTATGTGGACATGAGTATTCTGGCTGTCACTGGGTTTTTGAAGAATCCAAACCTGTGGACTTTAACGTGCCGAAAAAGGTGACAAGATACAAAACTAAAATCAGGTAGGGGTGTATGAGTGCATGCTCCACCAGAAGAAAATAGATTTTAATACACAAATGAAGTCTTTTGCGATTGGAATAGAATGAGAGAACAATATCCTGTTTCGATAGCTGATTGAATTTCAATTATCTTAATCACAATGTTTAACTAACTTCATGTTTTCATTTGTTAATTTAGATTCCTTATAGTTTTTAAGCTTAAAGAGAAATAAAGGAGTAGGCCTATCTTATTGAAGTTATTTGACTTGACTAACAAAATTTTGAGTCATGCACAACCGTAGGCAGACCTCACCTTCTGCCCTAAGCATAATTCTACTTTGGGGGCCTCCTACCTGACCTGTGAGCCAAGTAAATCATTTTGCCAGAGTCACGTAGTCACACCTGACACCCCAGTAGCCCCACTACAATCCCCCCTTGTTTAAAAACTCCTGTGTGTCGGTTTAAGAATGAACAAATAACAATTCTATTATCAGTTGCATAAGCTCCATCAGGCCCAGCCAAAGTGACTCCTGGATTAGAAAGTCTAATTAGACTGCTGGTATATATCACTAAGAATATTCAATCAGTAAATTAAACTAAACCTAAAGTGACTTCCGCATCTCTTTCATTACAGTATACTGTTGGACCTAAATGCACTTCTTTAGTATCAAAACAACAGTAAAAGGTAATGGTATTCAATGCAAGACTCACTGTTTTACACAGGATGGAATGCTGTATAGAAACCCTGCCTAATGTGCGTCTTTCCCATTGGTTTAGTTTGTGTATTGAGTTGACTGTACCTCTCCATGATGGTAAGCAGACATCTCTGCCACGGAACCAGCCAGCTGTGCTACCTTCACTTCCCTCTTGTCATTCCTTTTCAAGCAGGTAAACAACACCTTCCTCTGACCTGGCTTTAAACCTAAAAGCAACACATACATCCTTAACACATCACCCTCCTTCCAAAGTCAAAACAAACAGTGATAGTGATCTATTGTAGTTTTACAAAAAGTTAACTTTGTTGATTGACATGGCTTCATGATTCCTTTACTGTAGCTTTAGGAAAAAGTACCTTCCTACAGAAAAGCAGCATATCTGATAGTTCAGAAATGGAGGAAGCATACATACCGTCAACCAAAGATGGGATGGATCTCTCGTTGTCAGAGTTGGAGAACAGAATCAGCTCTTTGTTGATGAAGTCATTGTAGGAGAGGTGCCTGGCTTGAGTTCCATAAAGGTATTGCTGAAAGAAATAATTAATTCAGGCATATCACTGTCACCATTTTTTGTTTCGAATAGACACCTGAGGATAACCACCCACATCATCAAACACCACTGAACCACAGAGCGTGATGTCACAAGACTTTCCACAGTTGAAGGGTCACACACATAAATACCAAAACATCTTCATGTATAAATTCTCTAAAGGTTTTAAATCTCTGTTGATGTGAAGTTAAAACGAGTTTTGGATTTGTTTTTGTTTTAATTTGTGGACATTTTGACCTTTTTTGACTTCTTCTGGAGAGCTTTTGGATTATTTTGGTGTTTTTTTCCCCCCATTATTTATTAATTTTATTTCCACTTTGAGCTGAAACTGAGAGAAAAACTCCAGAAAGTTGGTTTGAGATGACTTGTTGTTGTAAATATGCGCTATACAAATAAAATTGAATTAAATTGAATTATAACCTTTTCACCTTTCATCACGCCTCACATAACTGTTGAGCAAAAAAAACAAAAAACAAACAAACCTCTGGCAGGCCATGCATCCTCCTCTGACGCCTGTCCTCCATGAAGTTAGTCAGCCACTCCTTCCTGTCATCCGTCTTCTTCTTACTAAAGGCCTGGAGCAAAACAAGCACAACACTGCACATCAGCCTCCATTTATTCATTTAGGCTCTTAGGATCCACACATACAGGCGGTGGGTAATGTCCTTTCTATGAGCACTCTGGGAGCCTAATGGCTGGGTTGCATACCACATAACTGCAACATCCACATCTCAACGTCCGACTAAACTTTCTCTGTGGCTATAATTAGTGGCAGTGTTTTATTGTATGGATTTACACAGAAACGTATTATTTTTACAGTCCTCCTGACAACAGTATGGAAGTGCGGCACTAGACTTACCAGAGTGATGGCAGCGTCGTCCTCAGCACCGCTGTATCTGAATGTGATGCGGTGTTTCTCCATGTCAGCAAAGTATTCTTTTGCTTCTTTGCTTGTACTTGTACCCAAACCTGCAAGATATATTGGAACATATAACTGACTCATTTTCAACCTAAAAGTTTGGTTGAGATAATAAAAGTTTTCTTTTGTAAAGTTTTTTTTATTAATAAATATTTGAACAGCAAACCTTTGTAGTACTTTATATGCCAGGTTTTAAAATTCTCTGTTTGTTTCTTCCACTCGTCAAACTCTGGAATGCTGTAGAAGGAAAGCTCCTGCTTGTTCTTTGTCACCTGCAGACAAATAATCAACAATGCTCAGGACCAGGTTTACTGTATGTTTGTGTTCAGTTTTTATCTTGTGCACCAAATGGAGCCTTCATAACCTGTAAGCTACTTATCATATATGATGACTGTGGACAGTGATGTGAGCTGCAAGACACCTGGTGGACTGACTAAAATGTTTGTCATCAGGTGTATAATAATAATGTAAAGGTTCTCTTACTTTGACAATGGGTGTGATGAACTCCTCCAGGAATGTGTGCTTCAGCAGAGAGGGCCAATTGTGGTGGAAGAAGTTGATGAGCAGACCTTTGATATGGGAGCCGTCTTGATCCTGGAACAAGTTAAGAAATGTTACTACGACTTTTACTGGTGTTGGTGCGAACAGAGCTTTGAGACCTTGTCCATGAGGCCGCTTACCTGATCTGTCATGATCATGATTCTGCCGTAGCGCAGACTTCTCAGTGACTCTGCGTCGTCATAGCTCTTCTTGTACTGGAGGCCAACGATTTTGATGATGTTGTTTATCTCAGCGTTTTCCATTATCTGTTGACAAAAAAATACAATGTCAGATCCAAGACAGAAAGCAACGTAAAAACAGAATTCAGAAGCAGATTATATCCACTAATGATAAACTCCAGTTTATGCAGATTGAAGTTTACTGATTTGGCAAAACCATAACACTAGTGGCCTATGTAAAGCGTAGGCACATTCCTCTAGTAAAAATGCTAGTGTGACTTAACAGTACACCACAAGAAAAGGACAACATTATGGTGACCCAAAAACAAGTAGAAGACTTTGCAGGAGTTAGAAAACCAAAGCAGACCTGACCAATGAATACTGGCATACAGGAACCACAGTAAAGCTCATGATGGATTTGTAAGGACACAAACAGAGAAGCATTTGACAGTTTTAGTATGAAGGACTTAAGCCAACTATACATGTTTTCTTTCTTCTTTGCCTTTGCTGTTTCTCAACAATACAGTTCTTTAAAAGCCTATGAGATTGAATTCTGCTTTGTAGCAGACAGCAGAGAGCAACTGGACCAGCTATTGTCAGTAATGTTCAGGAGCAGCAGGACTCCAACAACATTAAATCTAATGTGAGGAACTGAATCAATCACACTCCTCTGCTCTGAGAATAAATCCATTTTAGAGGTGGCAGTAAATACTGACAGATTTCCTGCACTGATGAAGTTTCAGCGACAGTATTTGCAGATATCTGTTCCAGCTGAGCAGCTGTTTTCAACATCTGGACTAACGCTGACTACAGTGAACAGGTTTGAATATAATTTTGTAATAAACCGTTATGACTTAAGCCTGCTGTGGAGTTATTGCGGTAATCCAGGTTTTATATCTATCTGATAAGGCTGCAGCTTATTTACTGTTGAAGGCTCTTTTGAACATGAGAACTGGGTCAGATAATGTTCAAATTGTTAAATGGAGTCCAACATATCTAGTCTCATCCAACAAAGCTGGAAGTTGTGCAGCTCTTGTCTGTTTTTAATACTTATCAGGTCAGCTGTCACATAGTGGTAAAAAGCCCTGTCTTATTAGTAAACGGAAACACAGTCATTGAATTTCCTGTATTTTAACATTTATAATTTTATTTTATTATTTTTACTGGCAACGTGGTCAATTATGAGTTATGAAAATTGCCTAAAAGTTGCATCTCTGTTGGTACAGACCTCATATATATTACCTGTGCTACAAATGCAGTCTATTTTTATAAAAAAAAAGATGTCTCCATCAACTTTGTATTGTAGCTCCATACAGTTGGGGGAATGATCGTAGCATATGCACTGACTTTTATACCCAAATACAGACCATGCTGAAGGGCACCCTACTCTTTCTATAATACATCTGCTAGACCATCACTGCTCAGTAGACACCCATCTCTTTAAAAATCCTCATGACTCACCTTCATAGATGTGTTTATAAATAACATATAGTTAAAACATGAACTTTTCATATTGTGTTTGTCACTTTGTTAAGTTATTCAGTCAGTAGACACTTCTTTAGTACAATCCTTACTGGAACAATATCATTCAGCTTCCTACCTGCTTGTGTGTCGCCTCTCGCACGTTCAGGATCTTTCCTCTCAGTGGGAACACTCCATAGCGATCGCGTCCGATGACTCCCAGTCCAGAGACAGCCAGAGACTTAGCCGAGTCTCCCTCAGTGAGGATGAGTGTGCATTCAGAGGAGTGTTTGCCACCTTGGACACAGATATGGAAAGGATTACCAACTCATCAGCGTGTAAACTTTTACAGTCTTTATCCAAACTCAAATGAGTTGTTCCGTTCAGTCACTCTGTCAGCGTTCCAGATCCTTTTCTTTATCAGACTGTACTTCTTCTTACTCCTCGTATGTCCCTGTGCTTGCTCTCTTTAATCCAGGAAACCAATTATTGCTGGTTGATGTAAAATGCAGCGTTACACTTAACTCTTCAGATTGGTTTTCAGCAAGCATGCAAGGAGGTGAAGGTGGGCTGTCGAGGTTAGCATGCCGTACAAAGCTGCAGGTGCTTAACGTTAATGTCAGTTTTTGAACTGGGTGTGTAATGTTTGCTTCCTCAGTCCAGATGAAGATGGGAAAATATTATCAAAGACTCAAAAAGGGCTCATCCAGAGGAGGCACAAAGACAAAATGGTAAATTTCACCGACAATGAAAAACTGAAATGAGATGGAGTGAGAACAGCCGCTGTTAAATATAGAAACTAATACTAACAGAGATGCGAGTAAGTTACAACTCTGTCCTAAGAAAGAAACCCAGAATCAACATTCTGCAGTAATCTGAATCGATACTCTTAGAAAACAGTGAAAATTAAAATTAAAAGCTGGTCTCTAGTCAAAGCCTGTGTCCAAAGAAACCCACAAAAACTAGTTATACATATATATATAGGGATAAATAGGCTTTGACTAGAAGGCAACGGCTTTGAAGTAATACTGATAACATGCAATCCTGCTGAAGCCATGTATTTCCTTACAGGCATCTCTACAGACCCGTTAAAGTGCTCTGTGAGCCTCACTCTCGACTCCACATCAACATTCATGATTTAGTTTAAAAGGCAACAGCTGTGTAGTTGGTGGTGGACATTCTGGGTGAGCCATTCTTCTACACATTAATAATTAATCACGCTGATAACACACCAGCATCATTGGCGTCATCTAGCTTGGGGATGCCTTTGATCTTGCTGTGCTTCACAGATGAGCACTTCTTATTCAGCTGCGTCTGAGCTTTGAACTTCACCCAGTTGAGTATACTCTCCACGATCCCGCAGTTGGTTGCCTGTGGGTGACAAAAACGTCCTTTCAGTGATTGATGCGCAACTATTTTAAATGAGATTCGATGAAACAAAAACACTGAGGATTTGAAAAAAAGCAGAAAATGTCCTTACAGCCCTGATAAACTTCTCTGACAGAAGGCACTTGGACCCAAAGCTCTTGGTCTGCAGTGTCATGTTCTCCTTGGTCTGGGAGTCGAAGGATGGATTTTCAATCAGCGCGTTCACAAAGACCCAGATGTGGTTCTTCACCTGAATGAGACGAAGGTCAATATGTGTTTAACCGTGTCTGTAGCGAATCAATCACAGTTACATTGGCTTAAATTTTTCACAAATCCTTTGGTATGCTACCTGGAAGGGTTTGACCGATACTCCTGCCTTGTTCTTCTTCTTCACCACCTCAATAAGTTTGGCCACAATCTGGTCGACCACATAGTCAATATGTCTGCCGCCCTGAAACACACACAGCCTCGATGTCAGAAACACATTTTACTCTGCTTTCACGGTTACTTAATTCACTTTGCATCCAACCCTGACAAGCTGAGACAGATACCTTAGTAGTTGCAATGCTGTTAACAAAGCTGATTTGCTGGAATCCTTTCTCACTCATAGTCAGGCAAACGTCCCACCGATCGTTCACAGTTTCGTTCACCACCTTCAGGGCCACGCCTGTCTCGTCCAGTTTGTCCTTTACATACAGATCCACGTAGCTGCGGAAGCCAGTAACCTTTAGTGGCACAGAGGCAGAATACAGATTAGGTTTAACAAGTAATATTCACTTGCCTAAAAATACTTCATAAAATCTGTCATTCAATTCAGCTTTTCAAACATTTCAGTGTATATAATAGCAGGGCACTCAAGGTGGATGGTGTCGGCCTTCACCAGGCAGAGTCAGAGGGAACTGTAAAATGTCCAGCTCCATTCCTGAGCTAACAGGATCTTCACCAGAACTATGCATTTATGTTATGTGCAATGAAACATCACAATATAAAGTATATATATATGTGTGTGTGTGTGCATGCAAATATACACATACACTAGTATATACAAAAAAAATTACTTATACCTATGCAAAAATGTGCTTTATGGTGAATTTTTATTTGACCAATAGGTTTCTTCTAGCTGTATACGGCATAAACAAGTGACAAAAGACAATAAGACATTGTGTTAAAGACGCTGAAGATAAATTTTAACTATGTGTATGTTGTGTTTTCAAAATTTTAATGTCCGAAATTATTCAAAAACTGTAACTGACGCCTTTCTATTCCATTCAAAACCATCCTGGTGATTCCCATCATGTTCTCCAGGACTCTACTACACTATAAATTAAGAACAGCTGATGCAGTAGTTCTCTAGTCAGGGTGGCGTGATCTTAAGAGCGTGGAAAATCTTGTTGACACATGATCTGCTTTTCGAAGGGCCAATTTAGGCCATTTACAGATATTCCTGAAACGTCCATTACAGTTAGGACTAAGAGCAGCCATAATGCCATACTAGTTAAACCTTATAGCCGAATGATTTGGGGAAATATCTGTTTTCTAAAATTGCTACTTTTTTGAAGAATCAGTTTAATATTTGCTGTGGAAAAAAATTGAAAACATCTAATGGAGAATTACCACATAAGACATCATCAAAAGCGTGACTGTCACTCAATAAGGACAGCATGAATCTGTAAAACCACTGACACAGCAGTGCAAACCCTAAGTCAGACACTGTACAACATATATCCAAAACTGCAGCCTGTGTGAACACATGAAGATGGGAAAAGACACTCACGGGTAATTTTTTGCCGTTCAGTGACACTTTAACCCCCTTGCAGGAGCCGGCTACATCATATGCTCTGCGGGTAAGAAGCGCTACGATATCCTTGTCCAGTTTCTCCATCGCAAACTTGGCCAGGTCCGGCTGGAAGGTTACGCAGGTGAAGTCATCCCCGTCAAAGAACTTGATCTTGGGATCTGAGGTCTTGGTCATGTTGTTCTGCCACGTCTGAGGAGGGTCAAAAACATGGCGACATACAGGTATTTGTCTTGTGTTTACTGAAAAGTCCACTTCTAGAGTTTTTTACTCCACGTGTTGCAGAGGAAGAATCCATCCCGTATACAGGTTTAGGTCCTGACCTGGTAGACTCAGACCACAATCGCTGTATAAAGTGCATTTAGTACACGTCCCTCAGAGCCTTGATATGAAAGCACCTGGTGGCTTACTCTGTGTGCCTTTACAACCCTTTTATTGGTGATAATATACACAACCTTACCTGAGATATGACCACAAGTCACAGCCCTATAAAAACAGCATTTACTTTATTCACAGATCACGTGGCACTGGTAAAGGTTTTATATGACAACACGCTACAATTAGATCAACTCAGGCATTACACGTTAGACTATGAACTTTGGGTGAGAGTGACAGAACATAAATTTAAGTGCAACATATAACAGCCTCTACAGTGTGTACACCGTTATGTGCTTGTTACACAGACTTTACAGGAAATCTGCTGCATTCCCTGTAATAACATTACAAAATAGGAAATATGCACTCTTCAATAAAATGAATGCTGACATGAACATTACCACTTTCAACCAATTATGGTGACTACATCAAAGTATCCAAACTATTGCTGTTACTCTGTGGTGTGTTTCAGAGAAGAAGCATCTTACCTGTTTGAAACTGTGTCTGTACTCCTTGCAGGCAGTTTCCACTGTGAACTTGGTACTGAAGATGTTGCAGAGTTTAGCACCGTACCCATTTCTTCCACCTGAAGAAAAACAAGCACTGATCATTCCAGATAGTAGGTGGCAAACTTTCACATGTCAGCACTGACCAAAAAAAAAACAACTGATTAAGATGTGAAGACAGCTGCTCTCACCTGTCACCTTCTTCTCTTCGTCATCGTAGTTGCTGGAGGTGAGCAGGTGGCCAAAAATGAGAGCTGGGACGTACATCTTCTCGTCTTTATGCTCCACCACAGGAATTCCTTTACCGTTGTTCCAGATGGAAATCGTGTTGGATTCACTGGCGAAGGCAAAATATAACGAGGGACAAATTACAGAGGCTATAGGAGCAGAATCTGGAATCAGTCTGTCTGAATTAAATCTCCTGCTTATGTCTAAGTGTGCTGTGAAGAACTACAAGCTGTGCTGCTTTTTATAAATACTGCGATGATTGTTTGTCAAACTGCATTAAGACAAAAGTAAGTGGATGCAATTGAGCAATTTGTGATATATTTTCTACATTAGAATACAGTGATGTAGTGAAATATTTTCCTCAATGTGCCAAAACAAAAGAAGCATTGTTTTGTTATCATGAGCCATTGAGTAGCCAGAATACACATTAAAATACGAGTTAGTATGTAATTAGGAGGGTTCTATGTTTTCTGGATGACCTGCAAACGTTTTATCTGGTGTAGATACGAGGAAAGAGCCTGGGGCAACAATGAGGTGCTTTTCTGTGTACATGTTTTTCAAATGCAAATAACCATTTAAACAAATGTAAAAACTACGTAAGAGACCACTACATCTGATAGTGACTCAAAAGAAAGATGCTTAATAAGATTAGCCACAAACAGGCTGATGGAGCTGTGGAGAGGAGCATTAACGTCTCCATGAAACCACATTAGCAGTAGAGACCCGAGTGCGGCAGGGCTAATGGTAGCATTCATACAGCAGGGGACATTAGAGAGAGCAACAGCTTGGCTGAAGGACACGCTGATGTTTCAGCATTAAGATGTGGATGCAGTTGGCAGTCTAGAGGTGAACTGCATACAAAGAGGTGCTCAGGTTTCAGCACAGGCTTGTTATACTGTAGCTTCATCTGGATCTATGTCTCAGTTGCTGTATGTATTCACCACACCACGGTTGTATGAAGATATAGAACATACAGCTGGACATTGACAGAGGTAGGTTTCCAGTCAAACCAGTAGTCACGTAAGTTACAGACATAATCTAAGTAACAGGAAGGTGCCTGTCCCTTTCTAAGAATGTAAATCCAACAGTACTTTGACAGAAGTTCACTCTTTTCGTTAATCATATAATGATGTACTCACGGGTCTATGGTGATCTTAATGCCGGTCATGTTCTTGTCCCTTTGTTTGTTGTCTGCTGCGTTAACTGTCAAGGAACACGTCAAAACACAAAGTGAAACACAAAGAAGTATTCAACCAAAAATTGACTTGGGCTGCAACTAAAAACTATATTTTTATCAGCAATTATTCTATCATTTTTACAATCAATAGCTTGATCTATGTTATTTGAGAAAATACCATGAACGTGCTAATCAGAATTCATAAAATAAATAAATCCAGTGAGCTCCTTTCCTTTACAGTGATGTACTTTTGTCCCTCCCGAAACGCCAAAAGACCCACATTACATTGGATTGTTCACCCTCTAAAAGGGAACCTGAGCTGAGGTTAGACCGTTGTGAGAAAGGTTCGTTTTAACACACTGATGACATGTGTTTAAAAAAGTAATCCTGCTCAGCACCACAAACACCCACAAACTCAGAGGGCTAAGGCGTGACCAGGACATACTGCCTGTTCCACTGTTCTCTGACTACAACTTCTCCAACGACACAAACAAGGAGTTTAAAGTTGTCACCATAAAGAACAAAACTTTTATTTTTTTTTTTTAGAAATAATAGCCGTACATTTAACAGACTGTATTTCACATTTTACCTGTAAAAAGACAGTGAGACAGGAACAGTGAGGGTGCTATTCATGATACGGAAACTACAAGTAAACCTTCCTAAATGTAAAGAAATGATCACTGCAAACATCTGTGTAGCGCTCAGAGGAATAATATGAGCTGTGAACCCCACTTGGTTCAGTTAAAGAAAAGGGCTTGAGAAAACCTATTTTAACTTTTTTTTTTGGAGTGTTTCTTTTTTAAAAACATCCACTCCAGCCCTGTGCCTCTTAACTGCACAACCACATGGACACAGCAGTAATAGCCAGACTATGAAACAGCAAAAACCCAACACTATTATAGACTCTAAGAGGGCCAAGTGTGCAGGGAGGAAAGTGATCATCAACATCACTCCCATGTGGTGAGCACAGTGTTGTGTAGCATCATTTAAATGCTGATTACACCGACACACTTTACTAGTACAGGCATCGAGCACAGCATTACTCCCACAATTAACTTTGGCATTAAAACTAATTTTTGACAGGCAGACTGCTTTATTAACCCTTATTTAGGCAAGTAAAGCCGACGGAGTGCAGCTTCCCTTTACAGGAGAACACAAAGAAGACTACAACTCTGAATGTAAGCTGCCTCAAACACTGAAATCATTTCTCAGTTGACTTTTCATTTGTCACCAACGTCTGCATTAAGGCACACAAAGATAAGCTCACAGAGGGAAACTAATCTCTGCATCCAGTCCCAGATCAGTGCCAGCAGCAGACTGACTCAGTGAATGATGCTGACAATTTTACAGTGACAATAAACCTTTAATATCCCAAGTATGGAAGGACGGTCTCAGATGACAAATGGGCCTTTACATTAAGCAAGAGATAAGATGAACAGTTCAGATTTACTCACCAAGGATTTCATCAAAGATTTTGTACAGTCCAGGAACATAGGTTATTTCCCTCTGGTTCATTCCTATTTCTTCATCAAACACCCACATTTGCTGAAAAAGTCCATAATAAAAGCATTGAGCACACAGCAATGTAAGGCACAAGGAACATTCTGGTGATGCTGCTGAAGCACGTGTGTGAAGTGTGAGGAGATGATCATTCATTAGACCAGTCACATATCAGCTTATCTGCATCCTATGCAGTCTTAACTAAAGTTGGACCTGGAATTTCTAAATGGAAATAGGCTACTGATCATTCTTATATGTAATAAATAATTCAGATGATTATTAACGAAATAACTTTGATACGTTTTGAGAAGGTGGAAGACGAATATTCTAGATAACCGATATTTAATTACTAAAAGGTTTGAAAGATGAATAATTTACCAAAATTGCAAATGATTATCTTCAACATGTTTTTTTATTGGTTGCAATTTAGTAAAGTATTTCCCCAGCAGCTTTTCAATTGACACATAAACTACAATGGGTCACTAACACGTCAACTCAGGTGGCTGGAAAGGTTGATTGTCTTTAAATAAAAATTGTATAAAGAGGACACGTTATTTAACAATTACCATGTAATATAGAAGCAAACTAGAGTTTGTACAGACAGAGGTAGAACTTGTGTAACAGTACTGGATGACATAAACGTCGTATTAACCCAAAAGCAGGTGTAGAAATAACAGCTTTCCGCCTTTTACACATTCAGTTGGTTTCCGTTACGGAGAACTTCCGTATTATTACACAATTACAAGCAGAGCTGCAGATTGTAAACAGAATGTGAAACTTGACACGGCAGGAAGTTACGTATTACACGAGAGGTTGTTTACCACAACATGCTGCCGAGCTGTTCTGTTATCACCTGCTGGGCACGGAAGCACAGCACCAGTAAACAGACAATGTAAAGAGCATTTTTTTGGTTAATGATGAGGATTCAACCAATTATCAGATCTAATATTTAGCCCTTTTTCGCTTATGAGAATTGTAACCAATTTTAGATAAAGATAAATTAATTTAAAATGCTCTACTGTGGCTGTGATGCAGTTGCCCTTCCTTATCTGTAGTCCCCACTCTGTGGTCTCAAGCAATGTCCCGCCCACAACATCATCTGATTAGTTACGCATCACGAATAACAGACTATCTCGACATAAACCAGCTTGATGTAACTGCTCTTGCTCGCACCTGCGCTGGAGGTGTTACCAAATGTCACTGGGTCCTCCGTAAGCAAAACACTAACTTCTACAGAGACACGTCTATTTGCCCTCTTTTAAAATGCTGCCACTGTGTAAATTTTTTTAGTGTTTACGAATTACAGTGCAAGTCTGTCAGAAAGCAGCTTATTCCCAACTCACCTGAGTGATGGGCTCCACACTGCCAATGTATGTGTCTGGACGGAGAAGGATGTGCTCTAGCTGGGTCTTCTTCTGGTACACTCGCTCCACAGATAACTTGGAGCCTGCCTTGTCTTTCTTGGACCCTTCCATCTTCCCAGAATCACCTCTGCCGTTTGCAGCCTCCTGTTTGGCAGAATTGTTTTTGTTATTAGTAGATTCATACCTGTAGGAGAACCCTAGAACATGACTGTGTTGTGTTGTTAACAGTGTTATCAGTGCTCAGCACTCATAGGAATCCATGTTATCTCTGGAACTTTGTGATTTCAGTGAAAAACAGACACCAGAGGCAAACTACTGATGATTTTACTGTAACTTTAGGACAGGTTTTAAATCCTCTGTCTTAATTCCAAACTATGTGGGCGAATTTAAGACGAATTAATGAGACGCAACAAGAAAATTACATACATGCAGGTTGTGTTTAACATTTTACATCCAATTTAAAAAAAAAAAAAAAACAATTTACCTTTTGAGTAAAGGCAAAGGCATTTTCATTTTTGGCTGCACTATATAAAATATTTATTTTTTTGTCTTGTATGCCCTGCCAGTGCATCATTTTATTTTACACTATTATACTAATGACCAGGAATTCATATTGTCATGGGGCGAGACACTTCCTACAAGAGCAGTGACCAGTATGGTGACCCACATGTCCTCAGACCCCCACACTGAAAACAAAATGACATCAACAGTATCCTCGGCATGATTCCCCTCAAGAAAATAGCCTCCCATCAACATAAATCTAGTAAATGAAGACAGCGCAGCAACCTGAGTTCAGTCTCTTAAAATGCACTGAACAAATGGCAAGAACAAATTACAACACTGAGCAGCAAGTGAGCTGAATTGCAAAACTGCTGTCGAGCACAGAGCTGCCTGGAGGTAAACTTATCTCAATACATTTTCTTCAGTGCCTGTGATCATTTGCAACACCGTAATGCAACGTATGGTAAGACAAGGTTTATTCATGCACAACCGTGAAACATCAAGACAAGTCAGCGTTCTTTACGTACGGCATGAAGTGTATAAACTACATATACAAGACAAACGATATAAAGAGATAAACATCTCAACAGCATTAAAGAGACGTGGATTTAAAGGAACAGCATCTACAGAATAGAAACACTTAAAAGTGTGAAGCAGTGCTGTCATCTTACACTAGAGCACTCTTATTTATTTGTAGCTTGTATTTAACTGTTTTCTTAGTGGACCCTTGTTTTGAAGCAGGTAAACAACAGCTTGTCAGAGCACACGTGTGTAGTAGTGTTTTATCTGTCCCTGGTACTAACATATGAAGCTGCCTGTTATTATGCCTGTTATATTATATTATACTGCCTGTACACAAAAAAGCACAACATCTCGTATAAAACATTAAAACCACAGAAATTACCCAAAGCAGCTCCAGAGCAGCCAATTGTAGTGAACACGGTCCGATTGAGGATGTATTTTTTTGCGTGTGTGTGTGTGTGTGTGTGTGTGGAGCTCTGGGATGTGGGTCAGCATACTGGTCTCCAGTCTGGTATGAAGAATCTGCCCCCTACGCTGCTGGGAATTCCTGCTCGTAGCCAGCAGCAGCCTCCACGTCTCCCACAGCATATTTCAACACTTGGAGAAGCTACACATGTAAAGTGATTTACTATGTCGGCATCACGTGAGCTCAAATGCCTCGATATCTACACTGTAATAAACGATGTGCTATGGTGAGCGAGATGTTCTGCTGCGTATCGGAGTTTAATTACTAAAATCAAGTCAAGTTTTAGTAACGGGACGATTCCTTTCCCCAACTTTCACTAACTTATTTTGACGATGTGAGCTATGGTTGCTTTTGGCTGCAGCAGCGATCCAGTTGGCAGTGACTATTCTGGTTATTATATGTTGTTAGATTAATCTCCAAGAGTCCTGGATCGGGACTACAGCCTTTGTAACCCGGTCAGAATTTTAAATGGAGACCCGCAGCCGGCGGTATGAATGGGCAGCAAAATAAACAGGACGGACTTGCTGGGGGATTTAAATGCCATCTAAAGCTAGGAACGAGCAAACGCTTTGTGCTCGGCTTTAAAAAATAAAATTAAAAAAACACCATAAGGTATTACAAAAAAATGAAGTTGGTTAGTTGTAAGTCAAACTAACTTACCATCCAAGCCAGACCTCCGCTTCCTGCAGCGCCGTTGGACATCTTCCTTTGTGATCCTTATGTTTTCTGATGCAGCTCGCAAAATGTCTCCGGTTCCCGTAATATTAAAAGTCCGTCAACATAACAGATGTCTCACTTGCTGAAAGGAGCCCAGACCTGTTTTTCTTCCATGTTCTTTCTTCGACTGCTTTAAAGATAATCCTCGGGAGTGTATCAAAACAAGGAGAGGAGGGGAGTGTATCGCAGCTATTGTTAAAATCGACAAGCGGTGGCACAGTAGGCCTAAACTTCCAACAAAGATGCTAACCCGGCTACTTGCTGCAAAATAAATACTGTACAAAACGCACGCATTAAATACGTTCACAATTTCATGTGTAAACGAAACATAGTAAAAGAGTACTTTAACTGAAATGCTCTGAAAAGGATATAATTAAATCCTTTTCATTTAGAAACAAAACGAATATTAGCTAACAGCAGCACCCGCTGTCCGGCTCCGCCATCTGCAAGATAGACGGCGAATCGTCTCGCAGATAAAGCGACCAATCAGATGGCTGCTTTTCAAAGGCACCGGGTTTCCAACCAATGACAGACGTCAGCTTATAGTGACCCTTGCTCTTTTTTCAACGCAAGATGGCGGCAAAAATCCACTCAAGCTTTAACGCTGCAAACCCAGACAGTAACAGATACACTGCCGCTGCTTTACATTAGACTGGACTACAAGACTAGAAAACATGCCTTTATTACACCGCTACATACGCTCACTCAGGTTCAGCCTTTACTGTGACACCAATGCTGACATTATTAACAGGATTTGTTCAATTTAGAATTACAGGCATGTAACTCGGGGTGGAAAGATGGAAAATATAACTCATTATTAAACAACACAGTCAACAAAACAAATACACTTTATTACTAAAAGGAGATCTTGAGAAACCTGAGCTGATGATGGTATCAACCTTGGCTCCTGATGTGGAATGTCTCCATGCATCAAAAAAGTACAATTACATTCACAGTGGAGGCAATTTATTTTTTTAAACAAAAAAAACTATGTTTTTTTGATTACAATTGGCCCTTAAGTCAAATTAGAGGTACACACATCACATCTTCATTCACCTATCATTAGCCCATGCATGTTTAATCACCCTGGAGGACTTACACGTTAAAATATTGCACTGATTTGCCAACACGTGTCAACTTTACAGGCCGAACTATCACCCCAGCAGCTAGCCTCGAACTTGTCAGAGAAATGAATAAAACAACAAACTGTGAATTTTTTTTTTTAGGTAAAAACTAGTGTCAATCATCTTGTAGGTGGATGATGATTTCAAATGATGGCTCCTCTTCCTCCTTCAAGCTCTGTCTGAACAGCTGAGAATGCTGCCACGACTGGTCCCCGTCTCCTCCGCTGAGCTCTGCCGAAACGATGAGCTCTGGAGAACCGGACAGACTGGAGAACGGCTGCATCTTCCCATCTTAAGGTTTAGAAGCAGAGGATGAAATTATCAGAAAGGATTATGTTACTCAACAACATTTGGAGTACTTCATACGATATAGTAAACAACTCTACCTCCAGAGAATTCTGTCGTAGTTTGGCTTGAATGCAAGCGCCAACAGACTTTCCCAGAGTGGAAGGTTTGGCTACTGGCCATGACGGACGCATGCTTTATCTTCATTCCGGCTGGAGCAAAGTCAAACTTCCAGCTGATTTTTCCCATAGAAGAGCCTTCTGTTCGTGCTATGTACACCTAAAGAAAGAAATGTAATCAGGTAATCACATTTACAACTGTGTGTACTCCCACATATCAAGAGCTTCGTTCCATTTCTTTCATTCTCTTACTAATACTCATCACCACACTGAGCTTATATTGTGTTAAGAAAGATTTACAATCTCTTGGTAATCTTTGTCCTATTCAACAGCTGGCAGCTGTATTTCTATCCTTACATCGGACTATTTAACCATTTAGTATAATTTTATTCATTTAGCCTGACAATGTTGATGTTAGCGCCTTTCTTAGTTCTTCTAAGAGCTGAGCAATAAATTATTTTGACAATATTAATCAGTTGCAAGAAAATGAATATAAATGAATAATAACAATAATAAATTAATATATCTATTTTGGTGATTGCATCCTTTCTAGAAATCCAACAGTAAACAAAGTAATTTTTGGTTCTAAATAAGAGTTGATGCTTGTTTTCATCATAAGATCTTATAAAATATGTTTTCAGTCTGTTCATGTTTCATTCACTAAAACATAAACAGGTTAATTAATAAGCAAAACAATTCCACATCAAATTTTATTGTGTATGTTCTGTGGCAACTGCAGCGCTTCATCAGGCGTGACCAATTTCTACCATTTTATTTATTTATTTTTTTTAAACATACCAAATGACAAAAAAAATCGAGACATCTTTTCTGCTGCATCCATTTTTAATAATTAAAAAAAAGAAGTTTTTTTTAACTTTTAATTAAATTAGTCCTCACAAGTCTCTAAAATGTATGGATGTGTAAGACTAAATCACTGGAGATAAATCTGTTTTTTTTATCCTGTTTGGAAGTTTAAAAAAAACAAAAAGTTATTCAGCCTAAATAATTCAAAACTGACTTACAAAATACAAACAAGGTGTGTGTATGTGGAAAAAATGCCCCTTTTGACACAAATGTAATCGATATTAAGCTTTTTTTTCTCCCACTTTGGTCTTTAAAATATTTATGCATACAATAAAGAGGACTTCAGTTTTTCATTTGTTTCTGTTCTAATAAATATATGCATCATAAACACACTGTTACATTTCAGATTGACAACAAAAAAATCAAACTCTAACTTCCAGAATATTAAACATACCATCATCCAGTCCTGTTCCACCTTTCTGAATACAGACTCCTTCTTCCACACACACTGATCCCAGCTCTGGACCATCTCAGAGTTGCTGGATACTCGACAGTACTGATCTTTGGTGATATTGTAGCGCACATGTAGTAACTTGTCACTCTTTTCTTTCTCAGTAGGAGTAAAAACGAAACCTGCACCCTGGAAAAAAAAAACACAGACACACTTTTTTCCAGCAAAACACACTTCTGAATAATACATTCAGGTATTAAAAAAAACAAGCTATGATGTGCCAAGATAGAATTTTAAGAATGGAATACAGGTGGCTTTTTAAGTACAGCACTGATCTGTCTGTGTGATGTTCATCGTGATTATTGACCTTTTGTATTATGCAAACTGTATGTGGAGAGTAAAATAATTCTACTGCACTAATATACTTAACTGCCAGTTTACTAGGTATACGTAGCTCAAATTAATTCATCAATCTTGCAATAAATCATCTTCATGAAGGTTGTAATGGTCAGTGTAAAGATGGATGCACATGAAAGCTCCCCATAAGTGACGGCAAAATATTTTGATTGCTACATGATGGTTGTTAGACGTATAGGTCGTAAAACCCACTCCCTCCATGTCACAGAATAGTCAATAAAAATCAATACATTTATCGTTTGAAGCTATAAAAACTGTATGTCATCATAATTGACAGCTGTGGTAGAAGCTGTAAACGGTACAAACTGATAGATTGATAGGGCTTTTTGAATTTATGTCTACTGCAAGTTAAGTGTGTGTCTTGAAGGCTAACTTAATGAGTAAGTTAATATTAGTGTTTGCCACAAATACAAAACACAATCAGTCTATGGAGAAAAATAGTCAACGGTGCTGTATGCGACTTTTCAAACAACTGGATGTCAGCATCTCAGACCAAAACAACTCTTCATGTTGGCCACATCCCTCCCCCCTCCTCTTTACATTTCATTTAAAACCACAAAGGTTGTGTATGTGAAACCCAACAAAAAGTAATCCAGCGACAACAACTAGCCTACACTGGGACAGTAAATTACAATACATTGAAAACTAAATGGAGTATTTGTGTCACAATCATGTTGGCGAAGGGAAAGGAAGAGGTCTAATGAAATTGTACATGCATACATATGTAATGTACTGTACCTGTGTGGAGGTCTCAGTATCGGCACTGCTGGTCTCTCCCCGTGCTATCCTCCAGGCTAGAGAGCCAGAGTTACGACCCCCCAGCTCTCCTGGTTTAGGTTTCTTTGGGGAAATGAACTCCACTAGCTCCACAAGCAGCCTCTCCGTCAGCTCCTTCTTCCTCTCTGGACTCAGAGACTGCTGCCTCTTCAGTGTTTAGAGCAGAAACAGGGTGGTTTACATCACAGCCACCACAGCAATTAATCTTACATGCCGGGTTAAAAGGATTTAGACTTACGGAGGCACAGAGTCCATTAATGGTGTGCAGGAGCCAGGCTTCCTGAACCCGGGTCCTTCTCGACAAAACCTCTGGATGTTTGCAGGAATACCTCCACGTCACATCAACCACCTGCAGCACAAACACACACACAACTGTTCTTCAATACTTGTAAGGACATCACTAACAAAATGCGTTCCGCTGTCAAGATCATAACAATCACAATTAAATGCCTACCCTAAACCTAATTACTCATTTTAACCTTCAAACAAATTCTTAACCACCAATCAGCCCCTTGGGGCAGTGTGGACTGGCCCACATGTCCTCAAAATGCATAAATGTCTTCATTGAAGAGGTTTCAGACTGAAAAGCGTCCTCACAAGAACAGCAATACACTGAAGTATTTCAACTATCTGTTGAACCTTGAAGACAATCCACCTGTAAGCTACAGTAAACTGCAACACGTACCTCAAACAAGGAGGCACAAAGGTTTTGCACAGTAACACTGAATGTAAACGCTTTAAAGGAGCAGTCTGGAGAATTTCTCTAATTTACTCACTAACTCATAACTTACAAGTAACGTTTTATCCAAAGCTTGATATAGCTCATTTATCTGTGCCACTAAGGACAATTATTGACCAATTTTTCATTGTCAATTTTCAAAACAGTGTGTGAGAGAGGGGGTTTCTGATGAAGTCCATATATTCCACTTGATTACAACAGGTAAAGAAGCAAGCCAGACAGTCTTAAGTGAATTGACTAATGCAGTATTGGTTTTGCTTAATACATTTGCTAATAACAAATAAAACATATGACAGAACCCATCTTAAAAGGAATGATACGTTCACATTGTCCTTTACTTGACAGACACCACAAAAAGATTAGAAAAAGGCAAAAATCTCAAGAAAAATAAAACTTGACTAATGTGTCCATTTGTCTGACCTGGTCCTTAGAGAAAGCCAAAACATAGGCCAGTTTCTTTCCCCAGCCGATCTCGTACAGCAGCGGTTTATCACAGACATTCTCACACGAGTCACAGTGCAGCCAACGACGCTGGGCAACGGAGAAAATCTCTGTCCACACATGGTCTGAAACAACACACAGTTGGATGAAACATACAGTAAATAGCTTTAATAACAGACCAAGTAGGAATTTAAGACACGTGGTGACATGTTCTTAATATAACAAATGTATGGATGTATGGAACAATCCTGCCAACATACACTGAAACTGACACTCATGTCCCTGATTATATAAAGATGCCCTCAGAAAAAAAACAAACAAGTGTTTCACATTGTTAACATATTCATGTGGTGCTTGGATGTGCTAGAAGACACATCATAAGTAAAATAAGCAGTCAACACCATGGCTGAGCATTTCCAGTGTACTGATGACTTAAACAACCAGTGTGGCAGAATTTAACATTACAAACAGCCATTGTGTAGTGGAGAGCTGATGTACCGTGTCAGAACAGAGTCAAAGGTGAGCTGGTGTGCTCAAGCTGCAGCAAGTAGCAAAGGGACGGGTGGTGAGAGGGGAGGGAATACTACATCAATACATAGTAAAAGTGCCAAAGCGGGGCATTACATCTAAGCTGAAAACATGAAGGGATTGTTTTTATTGAGAGAAAAAAAAACAACAACTTTTGAATATGTAATTTTTGATGAATAGAATAATTTTATGGCTTTAAATCAATTCTAGGAGAGGAAGTTCAAAATCTAAAGTAATAAAAAATAGTTTTCAGACAGGTTTTCATAAGTAAACTGCCAGTTGTCTTCCTGTGGACAATCAAATTAGTAACATAGGAGCCTCACTGGCCATTCATGGACATACCTGTGCTGTCCCAGATGTACCTGGCCTCAAGTCCAAGTGCTCTGCAGCAGAGGGTAAAACAGTTGGCCCACTCCCCACAGCGCCCCCTTCTGGTTTCCAGCAGCTTTTCAGGATTGTTATACCTGATGTTATCAATAAAGACAAAAGAGGCACAAATGTTGTACATTAACCAAAACAGTCAAATGTTTCATGGAAAGTAAAAAGTTATCCTTCTAAAACTTCCTGACAGTGAATGTTTAAAACATTTTGTTAAAAAAACTTAAAAAGTATACAGTGGCATTTAAAAGTTTGAACAGTCCTTCCAACTGAAGTTTTTACTTTTTATTTTCATTATTTTCTACAATGTAGAAAAAAACTTAAGACACCTGCATTATTAAATGACACGTGGAAAAAAAGCATTAATGAACCAAAATAAGAATTTCTTTTGGATAAAAACCATTAAACACTGGAATGAAACTGGCTCTCATGAGGACCTCCCTAAGAAAGGAGCTAGCAGTCTCAGAAATCAGCATTTAACAGCAGCTCAGATTAGAAGTGTGATGAAACTCCATCAGATGACCTGACCTCCACACCAAAACCCATGTGAGATGGCTTGGGATGATTGGAGCGCAGAGTGAAGGAAAAACAGCCAACAAGAACTCATTATATGTGAGTAGGTGTGCCAAAACTTGTGACCTGTAAAGACTGTAAAAAGCATTTTCCTGCCTAATCCTAATTTTAATTAGCAAAAATGCCAACACACACACACACACACACATACCTGGGGAATCGGGTGGAGAGTTGGCAGCTCTGACAGTAGTGGTTCTCCACTCGCTGAGCTCCCCAGCGGAGATCCTCAGTGCTTGGACTGAGGGAGCTGCCGTGTTGGGTTGGACCTCCACAGCGTGTGCAGGGCAAACAGTCCACCCACGAGAAAAAGTCCTGTTTAAACCACCTGAGTAACTCCAGCACCAGGAAGTCCTCTATTCCAAGTTTACATTCTACAAACAGGACAGCAAATCATAAACTTAGTGTAATTAAAGAAATAATTCAAACACATTTAATTATACATAGACAAGTGGGTTTTCTGAATGAGTAAAGGGACTTCACCTGGGTCGGCCTGTTTAGCCTCCTTGAGCTTTTGTTGAGCAGCAGAAGACAGCTCCTGGTGAGGGATGGAGCCTCTGGCTTTCTGCTGCAACTCAGGGTTTTCATACAGCATCACGTGTTGAAAGTTAGACTGAAGAGTCACAAAAAAGCTCATACTGCTCTCCTGTCACACAGACAAAAACAAATGAAAACATACAGGTAGATGAATAAATAGACAGAAGAAGGCTAGCAGTTCTACAGCAGAATACTTCAGATGTGTTCAAGGTTTCAACCATTTAATTCATTGATGAGAACATATTTACCAAAGAAGATGGCTGCTGTGCGGGTGTTACTACTGGCTGGCTAGATGCAGCAGCATTGCTGTCTGGTGCTGAAGCTGAAGCTGAAGCTGAGGCCACAGCAGCCTGAGCAGCAGGTTGGGAAGGACATCCTCCATGCAACCTCTGATCCCTCTCTTCTGCAATAGATTCCCTGATGAACTTCAGCTGTTCCACAGATGCAGATTTGGGAAAGACCAAGTGAGTCTCAGCCTGAAAAGATTTAGTTCATCCATAGTTACATAAAAGACCAAAATGCTCTAGGCAATGATGCAAGAGACACACAATTGCAATACTGACTGTAACCCACTACAGTAGATACCCAGAAGTGACTTATCAATTACCTCTTCAAATCCCATTTCAAAGAGACATTCCACAGCACCTTTGATGGGCAACACTTTGGTGGAGAAAGTAGGATTGCCAATACGGATCGATCTGTACTTCTCCTCATTGGGAAACCTGTTTGGGTGACATTTGATGATCATATGAGGAAGTATCAGTTTGCTGGCTGGTTAGTGCACAGTGATTTCTCAACCAAAGTAAACGTGTTCTCTGAAAACCAAATGAGTTCTGTGCTAATTTATCACAACCGTACTGATGTTGTGCTCTCAATATGCAGACATAGTATACAGCAGAGGTGAGTAGTGAAGTGAGCTTGTGCAATATCTCTTAAATGTCAAATGAAATGAAACTGAAACATCTCTCAGTAACTGCATGTCAAAACATGTCGAGAATTTCTTCATATGAACCGCAGGTGTCGTCCTCCTAAAATGAGGCCATAGACAGAGCACTATTTCCATAATCTACCTGTAAAAAGCAGATGGGCAAGTGTCACAGACTAGACACAAGGATTATTATTGAAAATCAGAGTTTCTGTGACAGTCTGAGGACCTTGTATAATGTCAGCTTCTATGGACAGTGTCAAGAAGAAAACCCTTGTTTTTTCATTGGCACAAATCTGCAAGATGAAACTTTGCCAAAAAAAAAAAGGAAAAAATGTCAGGTATATGCCTGGTGTGTATCTGGTGTATGTTGGGAAATAAAGCTTTAATCAAATGAGACCAATATAAATATGCTTTCCTCAGATGGGGTGTAACGTGTTTAGTGTGAACATGGCCAAGAGAAAAATATGACAAGGCCAAATATGTTGCCTGACTCCAGTCCAAACCCCAAAAACACCTTTGGGCTATTTTAAATAGAAAGGTAGAGCAACACAACCTCTCCAGCAAAGAAGAAAGAAAGAAGGAGAGTCTCTCAAGAATGGCAGAGCATCTCTCCAGAAATGTGCATAACACTTGTATCCTCCAAGCTGAGAAGAATTGAGTCTGCGATCACAACTAAAGCTGGGCATGCAAAGTACTTTACAAAAAAGAATCTCAGTAATATCAAATGTTATACCGAGTTCCTACTGTAGCGGCTACATCTTTAGCTTGACATTGGAGAGAATACTCTACTGCTCTACTTAGATGTAATGCAACTACCAAAAGGTGACACAGATTTTAATCATTTAACATTTAAGTGAGTGTACAAACTGTGGCAATGCTTTTATACGTTACTGATAAATTAATGCTTTATAGCTGAAGCAGGAGGCCTTTTCTTATGATGTTTTCTTGAGTAAAAGATATCAAGGTGCCAACTTTACTTGACATATTTAGCTTTACTTCACCGTGCAGTGTATCTCTGAGCGATGTTAGGAGAAGTACAGGTGAGTAACTGCTTCCTGGTGAGTCACCTGTATGCCGAGTTCCCTCAAACACAGGTAGTGAAGTTGTTGCAGGATCCTGCATGAATGGGCGTGTGCTGACACCAAGACCAAACTACAAGCACTGATTTTTGAAGTTTGGTCTCATGTTGGTGTGTGACCAGAACCAAACAGCAGCTCATATCGGGGCTCAAGTACAACTTTGTCACCTTTTACTAGCAGTTTGTCGACGACGTGATGTGAGCTATTCTGACATTAATTTACAAACGATGTCTGACACAGTCTCAGTTTGACATGTTCCACTGCTGCGGTACGTCATTGCGTGTTGAAGTTCACAACCTTACCTTAAAATATTGTCCGCGTATGTGAGTAACAACTTGGCGACGTCTAAGAAGACTTCGTTTGTATTCTCACACAGCGCTGTGACTGCTGGTGACACAGCCATGTCGGTATTTCTTCTACAAACTGAGAAGTCCTGTCACTTTTAAATCAGAGAGCTAATGCTAACAGTGCAGTTTGGCTAACTGTGGTGTCGCTCTTCGGGCTAATGTTTGGGGTCCTGGAGGAAGTTGCCATAACAACGCCTGAATGAATGTTTGGAGTTTTAAAAACGCGGCGTATATTTGTGTTATACCGTAATTATATTTGATTAAGCAAAGTCACATGTTTGCTTACAGTGGTACTGGGTTGCTTACATTTATTTAATATTTAATAGTTAAATTGTTCAGGCGTTCATAAATGCTACCTAAAGAGAAATATAAGGATGGCATGGACGCGCGTTTGGTGGGTGACAGGTAACTTTTAGGTGCGCGTTCTTGTAAGTCACCAGCTTAGATTCCGTTTTGTGAGGAGGGCATTCCTTCTTTAGTTTGTTAAAATCTAAGATCTTTAAAAAAATAATAATAATTCACCAAAACTTAGGTTAGATCGCTGTTAAAGTTGACAGGATGTCTGCTCTGTCACTGACCCGTTGGACTAAACTCCAGCTGAGAGCACAGAGCAGAAGGACTGTGCTTCAGAGGATCGTCAGTGTTTGTCCGAGCCAGGACTCCAGGCGCCACAGCTCTGGACAGCCGCAGAGAAGGAGGGTCGTTATCACTGGCGTCGGGTTGGTGTGTCCTCTGGGCACAGGCACTGCTCTGCCCTGGGACCGCCTGATCAAAGGCCACAGTGGGATTGTTGCTCTGGACTCAGAGGAGTACAAGACTATCCCCTGTAAAGTGGCCGCTCTGGTACCCAGAGGGACTGAAGAGGGTCAGTTTCAGGGGGAGAATTTTGCCTCTCGTGGGGAGATCAACAGTATGTCACCTGCCACTGTAATGGCCCTTGGAGCTGCTCAACTGGCTCTAGAGGACTCAGGGTGGAGCCCCAAAAGCCCAGAGGAACACCTCAGCACAGGTGTGGCTGTTGGAATGGGCATGGTGTCACTGGATGAGATTGCTCGCACCTCCTCTGCCTTTCAAAAACAGGGCTACAACAAAGTGAGCCCCTTTTTTGTGCCTCGCATCCTTGTCAACATGGCTGCTGGGCACATAAGCATCAAACACAAGCTGAAGGGTCCCAACCATGCTGTGTCCACAGCGTGCACCACAGGCGCACATGCCGTAGGAGATGCAGCAAGGTTCATTGCCCATGGGGATGCAGTTGCTATGGTTACAGGAGGAACAGAATCCTGTGTAGGCCCCCTTTCAGTTGCCGGCTTTGCTAGGGCTCGCGCACTTGCCACGAAATGGAACAACAGCCCGACGCTGGCCTCAAGACCCTTTCACCCAGAGAGAGAGGGCTTTGTGATGGGAGAAGGAGCAGCAGTGCTCCTACTGGAGGAGCTGGAGCACGCAGTGAAGAGAGGAGCCAGGATCTATGCAGAGGTCCTGGGCTATGGACTTTCAGGGGATGCTAGCCACATCACTGCACCCTCTGCTGATGGAGACGGGGCATTCAGGTGACTTAATTCAGCATTTTCAGAGGCTGATTGTGTTTTTTGCACATTTGTTTAACAAATGAAGACCAAAGTGATATAAATTATTCCTCAAAACTACGCACACCCACTGATGCAGACAATTGTTAATCTACCTAACATCAGTGCCATAATCTCAGTAATCTAAAGTATGGTAGCCAAAACAACAAAAGTATGACCCAAACTGTGATATATTTGCGCTATCCTTATCTGTCCACCCATTGCTTCTACAGGTGTATGTCTGCAGCTCTCAGAGATAGTGGTGTCTCACCTTCAGATGTCACATACATCAATGCTCACGCCACATCCACACCTTTGGGTGATGCTGCAGAAAATGCAGCCATCAAGAGGCTCTTCCAGCAAAGCATTGAAAACCTGGCTGTGTCCTCTACTAAGGGAGCCACAGGACATCTGCTTGGGGCTGCTGGGGCTCTGGAGGCAGCATTCACTGCTCTGGCTTGCTACAACGGAGTCCTGCCCCCGACCCTCAACCTGGACCGCACAGAGCCAGAGTTCAACCTGAATTATGTTCCCTGCACAATGCAGCCATGGCGGACTCGGGGCCGACGGGTCGCCCTCACAAACTCATTTGGATTCGGTGGCACCAACGCCTCACTGTGTCTCAGCAGCATGTGATGACACACTGAGACTGAATGTGGACTTATCCGTCAGGTCTGATCCAGGCTGTGTTATATAATGTTTATGTAACAGAGGGACTAGATATTTATTTAGAGAGTTGATCTGAACTGCTGCTAGTTGGTCCAATGAACTGGTTTTATTGTAATTACTTCCACATGTTTGAACTTGTTTGTTCTGGATTTTAAGTGATGGACTTAAATAAAGACAGTAACACTCAATATGTCATTTTTTGGTTTGTTTTAAAAGCCAAATGATCAAATAAACAGTGGAAATCAGAGGAAAATGTATTACGGTCTGTATAAGGACAATATCAGTAATTCAGTCAGTTCACCGCTGACCACAAGCTGCCACTTCTAGTTCAGTAAGCATCAAGTTCCCCAAAGGACTGACTTAACACCTTAGTTTGCACCTCCCCGCTACAGTGTCACACCATTCATATAAAGTAACCACTACCCCAGAAAAGTTCCCCACTAGTCCAAGAAAGTCAACAAAAATCAGAATTAAAATATGCAATATAAACAGCAGTTTGTAAATTATAATATGTTGTACAGAAAGTGTGGGAAATGTTTGGAAATGTTCTTCTACTAATTTCCTGTAACTGAAACGTACTAACTTCAATTTATTGAAATGTATTGCCAGTGGTTTTATTTGGGGTTGACAGTGAGACAAACAAAAGGAAAAGACACGCTGTCCAACATGAAAGATTGTCATCTATCTCGGATGAGTTATGCTTCATAATGTGGAAACACTTCACCACACAGTACACAGAAATGTGCACAGGTACTAAAGAACAGTGTGTGTGTGTGTGTGTGTGTGTGTGTGTGTGTGTGTGTGTGTGACCAGTAGGTGGCATCACCTCACAGCAAATCATGTGCATCTGTTGCCTTTTCTCCTAAATTGTCTGTACAGTTTTGATTGCATGCATGCAATCAGCACCTAAGTGCAAAAAAAGAAAAACTTCTCAGGGCCCCAAAAGTCCCAAGTTTATCCTTCTCTGTCTAGTTTTAGTTTTATTTGTGTGTGTAGTACAAATGACTACCCATGTAATTAATCATGATTTGCATTACTTCTGTAGTTATGGTTTAATTGTTTTTTGTGTTTCAATTAGTGTGATTAGTGTTTTTTGCTTTGTTTTGTTTAATGGTTTGTCTAATGTTGTGTTGTACTGTGCCATAAAGTGACTTCACTTGTCTATAAATTTTGATCAGTCACAAATGTGTTAGAAATTTGCACCACTTAGCGACATCATCAGCTGGTCCGGGACATGTAGCTGGACCCTGTGTCAAGTTCTATTTGTATTTTCTTTTTTTGTATGTCAAGTAATTAAGACACAGAAAACCTCACGCAATTATAACAGTTAAAAGGCTGCAACCATCAGTTATCCATCGATTATCTTCATTATAGACCTGACAGTTTTCTTGTCAGAGGAAAATGCACATTATCATTCCATGAAGCCAATGTTAACAAAGTTCACTTTCTTATTTTGTCTGATTATCTTTGAAAGATACAAAAATGCTGAGTTTAATGTCAAAGAAAACTAGGAAAACTACCAAAAATTAGAAAAAGGGTAAATACAGAGCTTGTGATCAGGTCAGAAAATAATTAGTGGGTTTTGAAGATCAAGGCAAAACAATAATTCTCCAAACTCATCAGCTGTATGTGTGAACAACTGGCAAGAGACAACAACAAGAAGAATTTTGACTAATTAATTCATCAAATAATCATTTACCACTGGCTGGTTTCTGGATGCCTGAGGAAATAATTAATGTTCCATGTATAAACAGTTGGATTTGTTGTGTTTCCCTCTGTGATACTGTAAGGTCTGGAGCTTACTATGTGAAGTGCCCTGAGGTGACTTCTGTTATAGTGGTGCACTGCATAAATAAAGCTGAAGTGAAATAATGGGGAGAGGTCAGTAGGTTGCCTGACAACAATCCTTGGCCCTCAGGAGGTCAATTCATTCACCAACGCAAAAACAAACATACCTACATTTACAATTATTCAGACCGACTGAAGTCAAAAGTCAGAGCTGCTCATATAGATATTTATCTTTATTCCCCTGGTGCCTGTGCTGTGGGAGTTTGTTTTGGTACAAGTGTCAGAACAGCAACAGAGAAATACGACAGCAAAGAAACAGAAATGCAGGATTACAGATTACAAATCTGAACATAAGAACAAACAAGTGTAGCTTAAAAATTGTAAATATATGTATATGTAGCTTATAGCAATATCTGCACCTTTGTTAACCAGAGAGAAGCTGTGGAATTAAAAGTGTGTGGAAGAGAAATGGCAAAACCACAAAAGGCTTTTAGCTCCTGTAACGTAAATAGTCAGAAAATCTTTCTCTTGAAATCTGATTGAAATCTCTATTCAATAATCTTTCAGGAGAAGAAAGTTAACAAGAAAAAAATGACTGTTAATTGCTTGCTGTTAGCCTCCTACATGCAACCTGCTGTGATCTTTAAACAGGAACACAGCCTCCAAAAAGCCTGGCCAATTTATGCCATTAGGAAATAAGTGGTGCTGTAAGTGTTCACAGTGGACCTTAATAACTTCCTGACGGAGGCATGATCTCACAACAGCGCCTTTTATGATCACTTATGAAGGCACTTTACCAACCAAGACCTCTGACTCTGTGTTGCTCCTTTTAATTCAGCCTGCTTCGACCTTTTTACTTTCAGTGTTGAGAAAACAACCAAAAAATCACCAGTACAGGGGAAGAGTGGCAGAATTTTAATTGGAACAAAGTGTTGTTATATCAGGAAGAAAGTAAAGAAACCAGGTAAACAGTTCCTAAGGGAGAGGGACGGTTTTCAGATTTGTCAGAAAAGTTTGAACAGCATAATAATAATAATAATAATAATAATAATAATAATAATAAGAAGAAGAAGAAGAAGAAGAAGAAGAAGAAGAAGAATACTTATTATTATTATGATTATTATTAATAACTGACTTGATTGACACGTCAGGTCAGGAGTGATGCTACGCTCTTTAACAGGTTAAAGCTGCATTTTATTTATTTATTTATTTTTAAACAAGAACAAACTAAATAAACCAATACGAGGAGTTTTAAAATATAATACAAGACGAAAGCAACACAGCTGCTGCAGCCGAAGTCAAGGAGAAAAGCTGGCACAGAACATCAGACTGTGTGAATGTGTGATTAATATGCTGATCAATAACACCATCCTATTGTATATAACTCGCTTCGATGTAGGTTTGCTATTCAAGATTCAGTTCATTCACAACAATGCATCACAAGATTGTACAATGAAATATGTCGTCTTTTATGCTGCTCACAAAGGAAGACCATTTTTAAAAAAAGAATAAACAACAATACTTAAATTATAACAATATTCATGGTGATGTGGAGGATGAATTCAACAACATTCAGTCTCATTCTAAAGACAATTTTGGTCTTTTTTCTAACAGCTGCAATCTTAGCAGAGTTTGTTCAATTAAAAGTTTCCTGTGACGTGTTTCAGCACCAGCAGTACGATGAAGTATTGTTCTTGTTATTGACCTTTACACCAAGTGTTTTGTTTGTTCTCTTGCACCCTCAGAGTGAACAAGCTCAAGCATGCAGGTGACATGACACCGTCCCTGCCGGTGGTTTTCCATCACTGACTAGCAACGTGCCAAACAATGGAGCAAACAAACCAGTAAAAGGCCTGAAACAGAAAAGAAATGCAGGTTTTAAGCCTAAAAAACAAACTAGCTAAAAAGTGTCTTTGCAGCTGTTTTATGAGGGAGCCAATGCTTGATATCAAAAGTGACAACTGTAATCCAAAGCACTGAGCTTCCTAGAGTGTAGCATGGATGTATTATACTATAAGAACTCCAACACGGTGCCCAGATGAGTTTTGGTCACTGCACATGCACAAGTTTCCCTCTGCCTGATCGAACCTCACACTCAGCTCCATCCAAACAATTTACTTTGGGGTCACATGAAATAACTTTTCTAGGCCTTGGAAATGTTTTGCAAATATGCTTTAATAATTCCTAATACAAGGTCTACTGACTAACCTTGTCTATTTAATAAGTCCTGTCATCAATATTACACCGATTTCTTTTAGAATATAAAACAAATAAAACGAAAACACAACATTTTCAGTAACACATAAGTTTCACCTTGAGAGGAACTTTAATTTCTTTGACAAGTGTCTGGAACTTTTCCAGGGATAAATTTGCATTTTCAGATCACCACAGACCTGTGAAGATAAAACAAATCACTCTCCTTATAAATCAAAAGCACAGCAGCCTCACATTCTCTTTGAATGAGATCCTTTGCAAAAACAGAACAAAACCTGGACTTTCTCTTCAGCGCACTGCTCCTAAAATCTCTCGGGATGCTCCGTCCTCATTATTGTATTTGACATACTACAAATAAAACAATAGGCAAGTTTCCACCTCAGGAACTTGTGCACTGTTTAAAGGCGGCACAAACCTTTGTTCACAATATATACTGTGTCAATAAAATAACAAACCCTCCATTGCTGCATATGTCCTCCGTACTAAATACTTTAGGTTAAAATAGGTTGACTCTGATATACTGACACTTGATTTTTTACTGAGTACTACTATTCAACATTGTTGTGGTGCTCCTAGAGTAAAAGGTCCTACACTGCAATGGAAGCAGAAAGGCTGAAGTGGTCAGTTCTAGTGCCATTCCTGACATCTGTACTACCTCATGCCTGCCACAACTTCCTGCAGTGGAAAGCTGAGACAATGATACCATACGTGAACACTCAGTGATGTTCACTGCTGTAAGGGCCCCGGCCTGAAAATTCCTAAACGTTTAGGAAATATACCACTTGTAAATGTCTCTGTAATTTAGCTTGGGGTCTGGAACCTATGACAGAAACACCTTGGAAAATTGTGATCCTCAAAAGATTTATGTTCATTATGGAAAGATTTTTCCTGAAGCTTTTCAATAGTAAGCGTAACAGCCTATGAAGCAACACCTGCTTTGGCCAATCAGTCGGGTCATGTGCATGATCCTGGAAGATTATTTTGTAACACGAGCAGCCGTCCACAATTTGAATCACAATCACTGAGAAAAAGACGGTCAAAGACGGTTCTATAGACTCATACTGAAGAGTCTGACAGGCCCGTAGATTTAGTAAATGAGGACTTTAAACGTGGGGATCTGTCACTGAGGCTGTACTATTTAATCATCTGACTTGTGCATTTAGCAACGCAGACGTACTCGTGCAGC